TCTCCAAAAGGCTATTAATGCTTGCAGATGACTGACTTGGAGTGTTTGCCAGCATTAAGATTTTCACAAACATACCTTTAAAAAAAATAGCTAAGCTACATAAGTAAGTTTGAAAGGGTATGCCCTCTCCCCAACAGGAAAAAAAAAGCCCCAAACCAAAGAACAATATATTACCATGTTAGGATATCACATATTTGGCTGAATAAAAATATGATTATTTAGTCTTCTAACTCTGGTTTTATAATTTTTTAAATTGTGAGGTAAGAACCATAGAATTATAGAGATGCTATCCTGTTGAATCGAAAGCTATGCATTTAGAATTGGCCGTGTTTGCAATCTACAACTACAGTACAAAGCTCAAACACAGGATTGTGACTGACTCATGGATCATGATATACCAAAGCAGTGGTTCTTAATTTAGAGTTACTTTGCCCCTCCCAGGAGACATCTGGCAACGTGTACAGATGGATGTGGAGATACTACTGGGACCAGACTGCCATTAAATAGTCTATGCTGCATAGGACAGCTCCTCACAACAGAATATTCTGGTCCAACATGTCAACAGCATTGCACTCAAGGAACCCAGTACTAAAGAATCACTTGAACAACATTTCCATCCTCCCTCTTGGCATATATGAAAATAACTTTAGTGCATGCAATCTGAAACTGAGAAACAAGGAAGTTCCTGAAGATTAGAACAGATCATTATTACGCCTCCTTTTGACACAATGAACTACCCCTTGATTTCTGTAAGCAAGACCTGAAGGGATCCCTCGCAGGTTCAATTCCATCAGAGGTGATGCAGATGCACAAACATTGTCATCGGGACGTCTTCAAGTGGGTCTTCAGAAAAGACAGGCATGACTAAAACTCAAACAAGGTTCCAGATACATAGTGTTTTCTGAGTTGTATGTCACTGATGATGTTAGGACGCACCACCAGTTAAATAATAGCTTTCGGGAACGTGACAAAGAAATCTCGTTAAATGTGTACATTGATGTAAAATGTGAACCGTTTTTAGAGATAGTAACTATGCAAAATCTATAAATTATATTAAGTGAAGGAGAAGATATACTAATTTTTTTGTAAAAAGAAAAAGTATATTAAATGTATAAGAAGATATATTAAACCCTTTTTGTAAAAAGAAACAGAAAGACGAAGACTCTCCCTTTGATCTTTCTCCATCAGTGTTGGTCTCATTTATTTTTGCTTCAGTTTTTGTCCCCTCATTGTCCCCTCACTTTCTGCCACCACTCCAGGAAGAGGTCGTGAGATGCAGGGTGGGCGGGAGTACCTCCACCAGATCCTCAGAAACGAGAACAAACTAATACCAACCCCACATGCTCCCTCTATTTTCCTCTCCTGGAATTTTTCCAAGTCCTTGACTGTGACTTGAGCTCTGCAGAGGACCCCTGTGCCGAGCACGGTCCGAGCGCTGCTAGAGCACACTCAACACACTTAGGCGCAATACATACAATACTTGAAACTATTTTTAAATTCCATCTAAAAGCCAACCTGCACCATTTACACATAAAGAAAAACTTACTATAATACCTATATATTTGCTTACTGGCATATTATCTGCTTGTTCCACTGGAAGTTAAAATCCACATGAACAGGGATTTTGTCTTGTGTTTAAATGAGTGAGTGAATGAATGAATGAATTTCTTTTCCCAAACAGCAGCACCATTACACAACTGCAGACTTCTTTTATTTTCACACCAATGATGGGAGGCAATAGGACTCACTTCATGTTACTAACGATACGTGCCCATTCATTCACTGCCTACTGTCTTTCATGAGCTGCCCCTGCCACCCTTCCGGCTTTCCCTCACATCGTGCTCCCATCGCTCCCAGCAACGCTGGCCTTGTTTCATTTCCCAGGAAGCTCCATGCTCTTCTGTCTCAGAGCATTTGCCTAGAACACTCTCCCCTCCATCCCAATCCCTTCAGAAATTCTTCAAGAAGGCTTCCCGGGTCACCACTTAAATTGGGTATAGTGCCTGTATTGGATAGTTTCCTAGTTTCTGGTGTTTGGTTTGGTTTGGTTTTCATTGTAGTACTTATTACATTTGTAAAATATGTTTGTGGAATTATTTGATTGATGTCTCTCCCCACCCCATACCGCTCAACTGTGGGCAGAAGCCATGCCTGCTTGTTCCCCATTAATATCCCCGTTGTCCAGTGCAGTGCCTGTCAGATAGCAAGCGCTCAACCAATATTTATTGAATGAATAAATGAATTGTGTTTCTAGGAGCATAATCTGTTATCAAACATGTGAGTCCATGTTCTACTGTATCACTCTTCCTCGGGCTCAAGTTATGCGCTTAAACAATACTTTTTGGTGAATTGAAATCATCATTTATCTACTGTAAACTACCTTCTCAAAGTCTGTGTGACACTAAAAGAAACTGTTGCAAAATTGCTAAGAAATCAACTGCTTTCTATTCTTTTTTTTCAACATACTAAAAAAAGGCAGTTTGTTTTTTTCTTTTTTTCACTTAATTTATTAGCTGTTCTGGCATTAAGAACATAACCGGGTAGACAATGGTGGTCAGGAAATCAATTATTTGGATAATGAGTATTTGTTTCTATGTCTGTATTTTAAAACATCTGGAAGCAGATTTTAATTATCCTCTAAATATTTGGTATCTTGTGCTTGCAGCCTCTGAGATAATCTCTCCCCATTGCTGTTCCTGAGTGAAAGATTCTCTGTTTGACAAAATAGGTGTTTTTGTTAGAGGAAAATTTATGGAACATTGAAGATAGAGAGTAGCAAACTCCTAGGCTAAGAGGATTAAAACAGTATTTTTTATTATATTTTAAGAGGAAGAGCAAGAAAGAGGTCTTTAATGCACAGAACTGTTGAAAAACATAATTCCATATAATATCATGTAACTAAGAAGCTAGTCAGATAGGAAGCATTGGGGAAGAGTATGGAATTCTTGAGGATCCAGATAAAATGACTGTAGCCTAACGGAGCTAAAAGAGAGACACCTAGACAACAGGAAATCAGAAACAATTGTAAACCTGAAATATATTTGTATACTTCACTTTAAAATAGTGTCTTTACATATATCTTCCCTACATATGGTTACCAGGACCTCTGTTGCTACGCAATTTTTATTCAAGTGTGTGGAACTCTTCAACAAAATTCCAGAAATCCCAGGAAATTGGGGCAGAAGTTGCTAACTTAAGCCAACCTCTAGGAAAGCCTGAGATAGGAAGTTTGGCCCCATTAAAGGAGTCACCCGCATCCCGTCCTTGGTCACTCCTTTCACAAGCTAACAGTAGTCAAACTGGGGCTCATTCACTGCCTCAGAGCTTATCTGTCAATTTCTCATCCCAGGTGACCTCTTTTGGGTCTGACAGATGCCTCAAATCTGCAGCATGAAGTCTTGCAGCCTCTCCTTGTTCCACACAAACCAGGGATGAAGTAGAGTTTATTTGGGGCTCATTTGAGAAGGGACTCTCCTGTGAGGAATCACCTGTCCCCAAGATCATGACACAGAAGAGAGATGGGTGCTTGAGGAGGAGCAGAAACGACCAGAAGCCAATAGCCGCCATGCCGACTCTATACCTCCAGGTCAAAGGGAAAGGTTCTTCGGCTGACTTGTACTCTCGCTTTACTACATTTTGGCACTTGCTTATTATTCTTCAGTTTGATGATAGAAAGATCCAAGGAACTAATGCAATGGCTATGATCATATTTAAGGTTGTGATATTCATAAGTAATTCATCCAAAGTACCACAAGAAACAGCGGCTTAGGCTGCCTGATCCCACCAACTTAAATGCATAATTCTATCTTGGCCTCCAGGAGAAATGAATTGGGGTTGAGACTTAATTCTCAATGTCATGAGGAGAAAAAGAGTTAGATTTTACTTAGCATACCTTCAAATATTTCTTTACTGTTCTATAGATCTCAATAAGAGGACTGACCTACCAAATTTGGCACAAAGACTTCACTTTCACTTTCTTATAACACTCAGATGAGCCATGTTGCTCATCTAATTCTTAATAAGCCACAGAGATTTGATAGGGATAAAAGAGGTGGGACAACTTAAGGACATGTATGTTTCATTTTACATCAATTTATCTCCCTCCTCAGCAATATCAGTAAAATACAAAACAAGGTTTGGTTCTTGCTGACATTAATTTATTTTTGTCAATTCAATCTCATATAAAACTCCTTGGCCAAGTAAATATTGGATTAATATTTATGCCTTATTTACAAACAGCCCCCAGAAAGTATTGCCAGGGCCTAAGCTGTATTACCTTGCTTCCAAATCTTGGCTGGGCCTCATCTGGGGCCATGAGTACATTTTGAAAAATATCCACAAAATTCATATATCAGATTTCTCTTTCTGAAAAGCTAATTTCCTAAATATTCTGTGAGATAGCTTTTGAGACCCACATCAACACATTAGGAAAGTAATAATATTCCTGTCCTAACAGGAAATTCACTACTGTGGTTGCTGCTGTCCGGATTATACTATAGTAGAATTTCAGAAGAATCTGTTCTGAATTAGAAAACATCCCTTTCACTTGCTGCACAGTATCCTCTTAAATTTCCCGAACCAAATGAGTCTATTTGGACAGTAAGGAGGGGCATGTACATATTGCCTTTTTTCCCCCAGGAGGCAAGACAGGCTTTTACATTACCAGTTATCTTGTTTTGTTTTTTAAGTCAATTTCTCATACTTAAATAAGGTTTCTATTTCATCAGAGTCACCACAGAAGAGAGAAGAATTTCTAAAAAAATTTAAAATAGGTATGTAGTTTTCTTTTTCAAGAACAAATTTATCAGGAGTTAAAAGTGGAAATGTATAACTCATGGCAAAGCTTTAATGACAGATATAAGCTAGCATTTTCTATTTACCAAAGACCAAAACATATAAACATGCAACGGCCTAACTAGGACACAATAACTTTGCATTCTGAATCATAAGGTACACAGTTTGAAACCCAGGCATTCAGAGAAGTTAAAAAAGTAACTCACAGGATGCAGTCACGTGTGGCCTCAGGGCTGGGAACCTTCACAATTTCACGGCAGATTTTATCACCAGCAGTTCTATGGCCCTGCAACTGAGATCACGCATAATTAGTGAATATTTTACTTGAAGATTTGACAACTCAGTTAAGCAGTTTATGTAAGGCTGTTGGTTTAATTCTTCTGTAGTTGCCTTTACAAACAGGAAACACATACACGAACACTGACATATTTCAGTCTAATTAGTCTTTGTGGCTCAAAGTACTCAGGGGCGAGTCTGTATCACAGAGGGTGACAACTAGTCCCCAAAAGAGCAGGACTCATGTCCTGGCATTTCTCAGTCTAAAACCCTTCAGACAGGTGCTATGCAAGCAACTTATTCTAGGGAGAAACAGGCATTCTTAGTAACATTCAAGCCTTAGAGCCTTAATCCTGAAAGGACTATAAACTTTAGGATAAATTCATGTATACATACACATGTATGTATTGTATATATATAACTGTAATACATTAATATATTATTTAAAATATGTACATTATTTAGAATAAATATTAAAGTAATATATATTTTTTCTGAAATATATAGAACCTATCATTCAGCAATCTTTTGGCTAGAAATAACAGAAAACCCGACTCAAACTCACTGATACAAATAAATAACCAAAAAAAAGAAAATAGCGGGGTTGGGGGGGAACCCAGATGTAGCATTGGTTTGGGGAAACCAGAGGTTCACAACGTCACTTGACTCTCTGCAGTTCCCTTGGCACAGGTGTTCTCTGTAAATTGACTTGAACTTCCAGCTGTCTCCCCTCATGGTACAAAAAATACTAGCTGCAGCAGCTGAAAACCACACATTCGCCTTCCAAGAGGACAGTGTGAGCATGCTGGCTGCCACAGTCTGATCAAGCTTGCTCAGATTGCCCGTTGCCAAACCAGTTACCAAACTTTGCTGAATGGCTTTAAATTAAGCAAGGTTTATCCGTGGAGGTGAGGGTAGAATCATTGCAAAGAAGAATCCCATGAAAAGACATTCAAGATACTGTGAGGAAGAGTAAAGGGGGAAAGGGATACTAGGGAAAAAATTTACAAAATGTGCACAATGACCATGTTCAGCAATAATCTGGATCTGAAGATCGGTGTTTGAGGATGTGTACCCGGGAAAACACTAGCTCTGGGGTTATTTGAAGATGTCTGAGAGAGAGGGAACTGAGATTCAAGAGATGGTTACCCAAGTCTTTACATTTAGTCAAACTTCCTAGGAACAGTATATTTGCTCTCTGAGAAAATAGCTCAGCATATTTCCTCATTGCTCATGAAATGCATTTTATGGTCTATAAATTGCTATTAAATTTGCTCTTCCATTTTGTCACCCACCACAACATCATTGAAGATCTACTAACAGCAATTCCTTATACCCGGTACAGTATGTCTGGCCATCAAGAAAAAGTTACTGGCATACCAAAGGGCAAAAAACACAATGTGAAAAGACAGAGCAAGCATCAGAACCATACATGGCAGGGAAGCTGGAATTAAAAGTCTACAGAACTCTCATGACAGCTGGAATAATTTACTGAGCCAGAAGTCAAGGTGGAGTCATAGCCAAAAATCAATTCCAGAGGGATTAAAGACTTAGTTGTGAAAAACAAAATGTTAAAACTTGAAGAAAAAAATATAAAACATCTTTTTGACCCCCAAATGGGAAAGGGGGTCTTAGGGCACAAAAGTGTTAATCATAAAAAGGAAGATTGATAATTTTCCTACTGTAATATTAAGATCTGTTTATCAAAAGTACGGTAAAGAAAACAAAAGATATGCCAATGTCTGAGACAAGTTTGCAAAATGTAAAATCAACAAAATACTGGTATTCAGATCATATAAAGACACGTTACAAATGAGTAAGAAAAAGACAACACAATAGAAAAATGAGCAACAGATCTGACACATTGTCCCAGAGGAGAAAAATAAAAATGGTGAATGAACATATGAAAAGATGAACAACCTCATTTGTAATCAGAAAAGTGCAAATTAAACTGACAGTGGGAGTATAAATCCTCATAAACACTTGGGAACAATTCAACCTTATCTTATGAATCTTACCAAGATGAATGTTTACACATCCTCCAATTGAGCAAATCCACTCCTACCTGTATTCTCTAGAGAGACTCTCGTATATTTGCACAGGGAGACATGCACAAAGTGTTTTTAACAGCTTTATTTAAAACAACAAAAAGCCGCATTTAACACAAATGTCCACCAGCAGGAGAGCAAATACATTGAGTTATAGTCATACAATAAAATATTAGACAACACAGAAAATCAGTAAATCACAGCTGCATGCAACAACTTAGGTGAACCTTAGAAATCTAATGAATGAAAAAAAGCAAGTACCAAGTAACTACATAAAAATGATGGCATTTTTTAGTAAATGAAGCTCACGGACAGCAAAACTTAAGAATATCTTTGTTTCAATAAACACACATGTAATACTTTTTTTTTTACAGTTCTATAATCATTTTTTCACACATGGAGACTCAGGCAGCCACCACTGTAATCACGTTACAGAGCTGTTCCGCACCCTTATTACCGTTTTATAGTCACTCTCGTCCCCTCTGCCTCCATCCCTTATCCCTGATCCCTGGAAAGCACTAATCTGTGCTCCATCTTTATAATTTTGTCATTTCTAGAATGTTAATCAACTGAACCATACATTATGTGACCTTTTGATGTTGGTGTTTTTGTATATTTGTTTGTTTTTTGACTCAGCATAGTGTTCTTAAGATCTAAGTTGTTGCGTCCATCAATAGTTGTTTCCTTTTATTGCTGAACCATATTCCACAGTTTGAATGTACCACAGTTTGACCAGTCACTGTAGGACATTTTAGTTGTTTGCGGCTATTACCAATAAAGCTTCTAGGAGAAATTGCATACAGGTTTTTGTGTGGGTATGTTTTTATTTCTCTGGGATAAATGCCAGGAGAGTGATACTGGGCCATATGATAAGTTTATGTTCAGGTTTTTAGAAACTGCCCAACTATTTTCTAGAGTGGCTTTACCATTTTAACCAGCAATGTATGAGAGAGTCAGTTTTTCTGCATCCTTAACAGCATATGGCATCTTGCTATTTTTTTATTTTAGTTTTTCTAATGGGTGTGTAGAAATAACTCATTGTGGTCTTCATTTGCATTTTCCTAGTAGCTAGTGGTGTTAAATATCTTTTCATGTGCTTATTTGCCATCTATATATCATTTTCAGTAGAATATGTGTGCATAGAGATATAGATATATTTTTTGCTTATTCTGTAATAGAATTGTTTCTTATTTAACTGAGTTTTGACAGTATAGATATGAGTCCTTTGTCAAGTACATGGTTTGCAATTATTTTCTATCAGTCTATAATTTATCTTTTTATCCTCTTCACAGAGACATTCATAGAGCAAATATTTTTAATTTGGATTAAGTCCAATTTATTTATTTTTCTTTTAGTGATCTTGCTTTTGGTCATGTTTTAGAACTCTTCATGCAGTCATAGGTTCTAAAGTTTTCTCTTATGTTTTCTTCTAAAAGTTGTATAGTTTTATGTTTTATCTGTAAATCTACAATCTATTTTGAGTTGTATAAGGTGTTTTTTGTTTGTTTGTTTTTCCTGTGGTACCCAATCACTCCAGCACCATTTGTTAGGAAAAAATAAAATATCTTTCCTCCATTAAATTGCTTTGGATAGTTGTCAAAACTCAGTTGGCTCTACTTATACTTGGCTATTTCCAGTTTCTCTGTTTTGTTCCATTGATCTGTGTGTCTATCTCTCTGCTAATTCCACACCGTCTTGATTATTGTAGCCATGTAATAAATCTTGGAATCAGTAGAGTGATTCCTCCCACTTAATTCTTCTTTTTCAAAATTGTGTTAGGCATTCTATTATAGCTTTTTTTCCCTTTTCATATAATTTTTTTTGAATAACCTTGTCTATATCTAAAAAACTCTTCACCAGAGTTTTTATAATAATTACATTAAAACTGAATATCAGTTTGGGGGGGAATTGATATCTTTACTACTCTGAATCTTCCAATTTATAAATATAGTATGTCTCTCCATTTATTTAGATATTCTTTGATTCCTTTCACAGGCATTTTGTAGTTTTAAATATACAAATTCTGTGCATGTTTTGTTAGGTTTACACATAAGTATTTCATGTTTTTGAGTAATTGTAGGTAATATTATATATTTAATTTCAATATCTATGTATACATTGCTAGTGTATAGAAATACATAGGGAAGTTTTTGTTTTGTTTCTTTTGGTAGATTCCATTGGATTTTCCCAGTAGACTCCCTGACTGGGAATGGAACTGGAGATCCTTTGGTTTGCAGGCCAGTGCTCAATCCACTGAGCCACACCAGCCATGGCGAAATGCAAATTTTTAGATTGTTTATATGATGGATTATCCTTCTTGTTTGTCATATTGAATAGACTTGCATCCCCAGAATAAACTCCATTTTGTTATGGTATAGATTTATTTTCATATTCAACATATTGCTGACTGCTGTTTGATAATATTTTGTTAAGGAATCTTGCATCTCTGTTCCTGAGAGTCATTAGTCTCTAGTTTTCTCATATTGTACTGTTTTTTTTTGAGTTTTAGTGTCAGAGTAGCTTTATAAAATGAATTGGGAATTGTTCCTTTCTTTTCTATTTTCTGGATGAGATTTATAGGATTAATAGTTAATTCTTCTTTAAATATTTGGTAGAATTTTTCAGTGAAACTCTCTGGGTCTGCAATTGTCTATTTGGAGAATTTCTAAATTACTGATTTAATTTTCTTAGTTATACAGCTATTCAAATTATTTATTTTATATTGTGAGTTGTGGTAGTTTGTGCTTCCAGGGAAACTGTTCCATTTTATTTAAGTTGTGAAACTTTATTGGGTAGAGTTTTCTACATGAATTCCCTCGTTACTCTTTTGATGTCTGCCAGTCTGCAATGATGTTGCATTTTTTATTCCAGTATTAGTGATGTGTGTCTTTTCTCTTTTTGTCAGTATTGCTGGAGGTTTATCAATTGTTGATCTTTTCAAAGAATCAGTTTTCTGTTTGCTCTATTT